GGATCCCTAGAAAGTCTCCCCTCCAAGGAGGGACGAAGCGTGGAGCGACAGTTTCCAAGTCAAAGCCATCTCAGGACGCGGGAGAATCCGGGTCCACAAAGGTCCCCGCCCCCGGGCCACGGCCGTGCACAGCGCACACCCAGCCTAGGTTTTGATGCAACAAGGATGGTTCCTCGGTGCAGACGTATTTAAAGCCCGGATTTGCCAAGGAGAGGAAGTTCCTTCCCGTGATGGGCGGCAAACTCCCGCACCCGAGGGAGGGCCAGACTTGGCAGCCCCAGTGAACCCCGCCCAGGCCCACTGGTCCCCGGCTGCAGAGAAGAACCTGCGGCAGGTCCGGGGGCTGCGCCGGCTTCCAGCACTGGGGCCGGCCCAGGCCCAGCGCCACTCACTGCAAACCAACCCCCGGCTTCTCCCGGGACTTTCGATCAGAGAAAGCATGTCTGTACTTACAGGGAAGAAACCAAATGCAACCTGGTAACCTGCTGATGTTCGGCTTCGAGAAGGAACATTTTTTTTGCAGGTAAAATGAGGAGAAATAAAAGGGGGGGACGGCCTGCATCTTGGAAATCATTGCTCGTCTCCGCGTGTGACAAGGTTTGATACTGTTAAGGACATTGTATCTGAGCTGCAAGGAAATGCTCAATTTCTGAGGCTAAACACGGACTCTGACGCGGTCGGATGGGGCCCACTCATCCTCCCGCTGGCGGGGGGCCAAGGGAACCGCCTGCCTTACAGCTACGTGAGCGTCGACCCCCTCTGGCCGGAGCCACCGGCCTGGGGAAGGTGCAGGTGTCCAGCAGCATCCGCGACATGCAACCTACAACTTGAAAGCGGCTTTCCACGGGGAGAGTCAGTGACAGGGTCCTGGGTCCTGCTTCCCCCAGGACTGGGCGTCTCTGACCACCGGATGCTGGGTGATAACTGAGGAATACGGTTTCCCCCTGAGTGACAGCTTAACTGATTTTTAAGAAGCCCTAAATGATGCGTCTGGATCCCAAACAAACAAACAAACAAAAAAACAGGCAGGGAAGGTCCAGGGATGGATGCTGCGGCGAGCGCTCTGGGCACGGAGGGAGGTCTCCGCGGGCGTGGACCCCGCAGGAGGGCGTGACTCGGTGGGTCTAAACCCTGCAGAGTCGGGGGGAGGCTTTGAGAAGCCAGGCGCCGGGGAAGCGTGCACCCCACCTGCTCACAAGAAAGGACTGAGGGTGGAACGTGAGCAAGGATCTCCGAAGGGGGTCTCGTGCACGTGGTTCAGCTTTCTGTCAAACTTTGATCCCAAAGTTCTTTTTTATTTTTTTCATCATTTGAATTCTCCCTTTTCCACTTGGTTTTATATTAAAAAAAAATGTACTAGAGGGAAGTACATTAACCCATCTGTGAATAAGAGAAAGAATAAAGAATCAAACACAGGAATGTCGTATCGCTAGGGGCACCGTGTGTGCACTACCTTTTTTTTTTCTTCCTCCTCCCTCGGAATAATTTGTTCTTCCCGTGGTGGGTCATTTCCCAAGTTTTAACGAACATAAAATCTCTTTCTCTACTAGATAATGCTCCAGGAATCAAAGGTCTGCCACGAGAAATACGCAAACCAAAATTTCTCAAGCGGTGTGCATGTGAAAATTTCCTGTGCATTCGCACCCGTTTCCAACGCTAAGGGCATAAGAGTAACTTCATGCGTTAAAATCTCCGCACACGTTTTCTTTCATGGTCCCTCTCAGCCTAAAAGGGCTGTCAGGTGTCTGAATGGGATTCCAATAAGATTCATTATATTTGGGTCCCACTACGCAGCTGTGCTCTTAGGATTACGTCTGTATATATGTCTGAGTGTGTGTGCATGGGTGTGCACGTGTGTGCATGTGCAAACTGCAGGGTTCCAACTACTGTTTAATTTCCAAGTGACTCGTGTGTCAGCAGACGCTTTTGGTGGCTCTGCCGGACCACTGGGGTCCATCCCTTCATGCACGTCCCCAGCTGGAGCCTGCCCGCCGGTGTCCACAGAACAGTGATGCTACCAGCCGCTCTGCGACTGGACAGCAAGAGTGCTACTGAGTGCAATGACTTTTCCAGACCCGGAGGCTCCACCTGAACAGAGTAATTTTTCTAAAAAGGCTATGAGGGAAACTGTAAACTATGGGAACAAGTTTGCAGCCTCGCTCCTCCGTGCTTGGGGACACAGAAGAAAACACAGCTGTCGATTCGGAGGAAGTTCTGGTTTTAAATGTGTGCCTGTGATTTTTGTGAGCACCTGCACGTCCTCCAAGAGGAATTTACATGAGAGTCTGAAAAGCTTCTCTACCTGAAGCAGACCATGCAAGCAAAATGATGAAACCAAAAAAAAGTGAGTTCTGCAAATAGTACGTTATTAATGCAAAATATCCTCTCGCTTTCTCCCCACACACACGCAGACACGCTGTATCTGTTTCTCCCTCTCTCTGTGAAAACATTAGGAACCACTCAGAGACATCGAGTAAAACTCAAGGGTCCGTGAGCTTGCTTCCACGGCAGGCGTGGATTCCCGGGGCCCGCCCTGCGCCCTCCTGCAGACTGTCACCGCGACCCCCCAGCACTGATGCCACAATGGGGCCCCGGGGCCCCTCCAGGCTGCCCTCCCCAGACCAGAGATGTGCAGCAAGCCGGCTTCTGCAAAATCAGAGGGACCCTTCCTCCTGCATCTGACCCTTTGGGAATTACCGCTCCAGCCATCCAACAGAAGATTCTGGAAGCAGCAGAGGGGAGAGCGCAGGAGGGGGCAGGCGGGGTTTTAGGAGAGAGGGAACAGGCAGAGGCGTGGAAGACGACACGGGGACCGCTGCCACACGGGCTGGCACCCCGGGCGGCTCCCTACCTAACCCCAGGTGCGGGTGGCACTCCACCAGAGCCCAGCTGTTGTCGTCCACGCAGTGGCTTCGGTACACCAGCCACTGGCACAGGTCCCGGGCCGTCGTGTCCGCGAGAATCTCCACCACCCTGCTCGTGCCGTCCTCGCTGAAGACTCTGACATCCTGCAACACAAGGAGGGCGCCTGCAGGTGAATGGAAACCAAGTCGGACAGGACACGCAGGGACAGCGGCGCTCCACCCACAGACGGCTGTCCCTCCAGGCAGGTGGTGCCCGCCGGCGTCAGGGCTGCAGGGCCAGCCCGCGTCCACTCTGCCCCCGGCCCCGGTCCCCTCGGATGGTGCAGAGCACGGACAGCGACAGCTCGATGTTCTTAACACGCCCGGGACATCCTGGGGACCTCGTGGCCCGAGTAGAGCGTGCGACCGCTTCCCCATGGGATGTCTGAGGAGGCAGCAGAATTCAAGTGATGCTGGTGGCCTTGGGAACCAGTTGAACCGATGGTAAAAACAAAGCCACAGAGGAAGGTGGGATTTTAGGACAAAGGGAGAAGGCAGAAGTGTGGAGGACAACACAGAGACCGTGGCTACCCTGGCAGGGACACTGCAGGGACATAACTGTCACTGACTGCGCCTGGCCTCCCTTCCCCGGGTCTGGGGTGCAGCGGTCAGCACCCACTGCCCCCTCCTGGCCCCCGCCACCTGTATCTTCCTCACTGAGGCTCAGGAAGAAGATGAGGGAAATTAACTTGAATACATGGAAATAAAAAATACTAAAAAGATGGGAGTTGTAAAAACAGTCCCAACATTTTTGGGCTCTTCTCCCTGCAAAATCACGTGCAAGCTTCACTTCCCAGAGCTGTGCAAAGCTACTGCATGTGAGCGGCTCCCAGGCAAGCCAGGCAGAAACCCAGAGGGTCAGAAAGAAATTGCCCAGCTACCGCAGCGACCAGGGTGTGACCTTTAAGGGAAAACGAGATGCTTAAAAAAAAAAATCTTACCTCCACGGCATGGAAAAAGCAGTCAGAGGAACAAGACGGCGTTTTAAGTGGAGATGGCCTCTGGGAAGGGAGTTTGTCCCCAGCCTTTCCCACTGTCCCTGGCAGGCAGGCCCCGCTCCGGGCGCTGACCCACTGGGGGCTGGCTGTGGGGACGGAGCCTGGAGACAGGCCGTCTCCCGGCAGCAGGGAAGTGGCTGCCAGTCTGTCCTGGGCTCGGTCCCCTAGGTAGTAAATCAAGCCACGCCAGGCGGATCAGTTAGGTCCCTCCTGAGATGCAACTGCCCCCCACGCCAGTGCCCCCTGCCCGACAGCACAGCGCTCGGACTGACACCCTCCAGAAAAACCCCTGCCCGTTCCCCCCACGGCAGCCAACTGCCAGGCAGGAGGCTCAGAGCCTGAGCACGTGTGCTCTCTGAATCCAGGGCCGTCTGCCAAACCGCTCGGAAATCTTTCTCCCTGCAAGTCATGCCGTCAGGTGCAAGCGTGGAGCTGGGGCTGTCTGTGGCCCGGGTGTCAGCCGGTCCTGAAGCACTGGCTCCAGCTCCCTCACTCTCTGTCCCTTTTCTCTGAACGTTTATCTCCAGGACAGACTCTGAGTGTTTATTTCCACCGCAAGGAGTCCAGGAGTGAAGTCCTCTGGGAAAGGCATCTTCCCACAAGGGCCGTCTCCACCGTCCCCCAGCTCCTGGCCCCGAGGAGTTCGAGCTCACTCGGCTGGAGGGGAGGCAGGGGCAGCCTGGGGGACAGCGCCGTCCGGCTGGGCAGGGCCACCGTCCCCACCTGCCACCTCTCAGCCAGCCCGCGACCCCAGAGGGATACCCGGGCGGCTGGATCAGGACCGAGGGACCCGCTTACAACTCACATTCATTTTTAAAGAAATCCACTCCTGTCTTTTCCGGAACTTACATCTCACTCACTCAAAGTCACCCTACTTCCAAACAAGTCAAATATTCAAACACAGCTGATGTGTTTGGGTCTACGAAAATAACGTTTAATTTCAACAGAGTAACTACGTCTCTTGTCTACAGGTTGAAAGCTTTTTCAAGGCAAACGCATGAACGTAAAAGAAGGACGAATTTAGAAATTACGAATGAGTTCATACAATTGCTAGTTGCATTTTCACATTTCCCACCCCGTCTTCTGCGCCCGTGTCAGATGCAGCCGCGCAGACCAGCGTATTCCTAACTGTCCTCTTTCCCCAAGTTTCCCAGCGAGCTGACATGGGATGACAATGAATGATCTGGTCTCCGGAAAATTTAAACGATGGTGAAATGCTTTTCCCACCCCCACCCTGTCTTTTCCAGCCCCCGGGCAGCTGTGGCACCAGCTTTTAAATCTCCTTTCCAGCCGGGCTGCACCTGATTCTTTAAACACTCTCCTCGCGTGTCTGAGGCTCCCAGGCCGGGCTCCCCAAAGGGCTATAGTCGGAGCATTAAAATCGACGCTGTGCTTTGTCCTAAGGCCACGTCTGTGGCGTTCAGATTCCTGGAGCCGGCAGCTGGGAACTCCAGATGAGTGCATCCATGGTGAACACTTATGCACAAAGGATGATGTTGGAACAGCCAGCGCCGTTTAACCCAGCAGCTCTCCAATTTTTTTTTTAATTGACGTATGTATAGTCAGTTACAATGTGTCAGTTACAATGTGTCAATGTCTGGTGCACAGCATCGTGTCTCCGTCATACACACACATACATAGATTCCGTGTCTCCGTCACACACACATACATAGATTGCTTTTCACATTCTTCTTCCATCATAGGTGACTGCAAGAAATTGAACATAGTTCCCTGTGCTGTACAGAAGGATCTCGTGGTTTATCTGTTTTATATATAGCGGTTAGTATCTGCAGATCTCCATCTCGAATCTTCTAGAACGCCAGCAGTTCTGCAAGGAGCATTTTGCACTGTGCCCCCTGCCCCTTCAGTCAGCACCTGGGCAGTGCTGGGGTCCACCCTGGAAGCAGGTACAGGGTTTGTATCTTCAGTGCATCCGGTCTCGGCCATCTAGCGAGGGCGGAATGCAGAACCAAGAGGGCCTGGGGGATCCGAGTGGGGGTCTGCTCTGACTTAGGTCTTCATTGCCGTCCAATCTACATCTTAGGTCCCGAGCTCTCTCGGTCGTGTTTCAATGCGTTTCTCAAAGTGAGGATGGAGGCTGCGCTTTTCAGGAACTCCCTCCCAATGCTCCTGTAAGCAGTGCAGGTCAACTCTGCCAACTGGACACAGATATAGTGGATTTTTATTATCGGTTTTTGGTGTAACGTATCTGGACAATACATTAGGGACAAAGGAAGAAACGTGACAATCAGGGACAGTTCCCAGCTTCGCTGTCACAAGTCCAGAGTGTGCCCTTCCAGGCTTCTCCGCACACGTCTTTATAAACAGACACACTGACGTGACCAGGGTCAGAGCGCAGACACAGTTCTGCAATCGGGCTGCGGGGCTTCACGTTACACCGTAGACGTTTAGTGGGTCATGACGTTTGACACTTTAGGGCCTGTGAAATGCGCCTTCGCACGGCTGCCTTGAACGTGACATTGTCTGACGCCGTCCGGTGAATGGCTTCGAGGCGTCCATGCTTATCAGTGGCGCTCCCAGTCCCACCTCTGTGCCTGAGTCTCAGTGTGTGGGTCTAATGACATCCTTGGGACAAACTGCTCGATCTCAAGCTTTCTTAAAGTACGTCTCTAGTAAGGGGAACGTTTCCAAGAACCTCCGTGTGTTGACGACCGGCTGTTTGGCAGAAAACATACTATTCCTTAAAAGGGCATTTGTTAAGACAGTGGACGGGTGGGCCAGGCCAATGAGCACCCCCAAACAGCAGCTCCCCACTTAGCAAGCAGCCCCCTCTCCCTGGGTGTCCCCGTGTCCCCCACTGCGCACTCCCCACCCCCAAACTGTCTAAAGGCGTCAATTATGGAGAGAATTTCTGGATCGAGTCAGAGAACGGACCGCAGAAACTACCGGTCTGGGATTCAAACTCCCGCTCGCCACTGACATTGTCACAAAACAGAGGGACTGCCACACAGGCTGATGGTGAGGGTGACCCAGAGAAACGCACCGAAGTGCCCGTCACAGAGTGCACGCTCAGTAAGGGGTCATTCCACACAGACTGGCCTGTCTCCTCCTCCTGGGGGGACACTTCACACCTAAAAGATGACCTTCCCCGTGAGCTCCAGGGCCGAGACACCCCCCACGCCGACACCTCATCAACCAGAAAGCGTGCGTGCGGGCACAGAGCTCCACCCCGGACTTTACACTGTTTCCCATCCAGTCGTTGAAAATCCTGGAATTAGAGGAGTTTGCTTTGTCTTGAAAGATGCTGACGGCCACAGCGAGAGGCAGGGATGGTCCAGGAGACCAGGAAGACGCCCCGTGATGCCCCGTCTGTCCACCCTGGGAGGGGCAGGGGCTGTGGGGCGCCCTCTGCCCACAGCAGGGTTGACCAGATAATCTCTCAGAGGCCTGGTAACTTGGGTCCACCTCCAGATCTGCTGGGGGCAGGCGGCAGCTTTTGGTGGCAGGTCCCCCTGCAGCGTGAACACGGGGGCCGGGTCTTTCCGGCGCGATCACAGCCTTCGTGGGGAGCGAACTCCAGGAGCCAAGCCCCCTTCCTGGGGCAGCCGTGTCTCTCAGGGGAACTCACCGCCAGAGGCTTGCAAACTTGCTGTGTAAACGCGATTCCTAGTTGATTTTTTTTTTTAACGCGATGAAGGAATTAGATGTAATCATATTAGCAGGCCTGGTGCAAAAAACAATCACAATCGTTTACGGAAACATACTAAAATATTTACAGATGAATTATCTGACGGCTGGGATTTGGGTCAAAGCAACACACGAGGGAACTGACGGGGGTGTGACATGGTGGGGGGGACGCGGGGAGGCACACGGGGTTCAGCACCCTCTCTGTCTAGTTTTGTGTAGGTTCCGAAGTCTTCAGGATAAAGCCTTGTCAGCTTTGTGCTGCCGGGAGAAATAAAGCAGATTTTAAGACTTTTCCTGCTCATTTGGTTGAAGAATGGAACCCACCTTTCTCTCCTTCACCGTGAAATTCACTGGCGAGAGCAGGTCTCCTGCACGTCCTCCCTGGTTCCTAGTGGGAACCGGGGCGGGGGTGGATTCTGACCCCGAGGGACGCGTGGCAATGTTCGAGACGTCGCTGCA